TCGATCCGCCCCACCATCTCAGCATTCACGAGCTGCGCCTGGTACCTCGAGGTATATAGAAAAAACATATAAAGCTGTGTCTATGGCTGAATCATCAAATCTCTCCAAATAATTTCGGAATCTTCTGATTCGATTGAGAGCGATTGAAGGGTCTCCTGATTCGATTTGGAGATTCGACTGCCAAATGGGGCGGAATCTCCTACAAATCGAATCAACGACCAAAGCTTTGTACAGTCCTAATCTGCACCTTTGTTTTAACGGTGACACAGACAAAGTATGGTTGGGGAGGAAGGAAAACAAGTGGTGGTTTTTTGGGTCTGGAAATATTGTTCTCTTTGCAGTGCATCTGTCATACTAAGTGAAGTCTGAGTTTCTTTATATGAGTAGAACTAAAAGCATACCTTTTGATTTGACAGCACATAGGCTAAGGAAATCACATTTGTATAGATTTTGCAGAGCTTTCTTGTGTTAAAAAAATATAAAACAGGTATTTTCCTACCTCAGCTTTTTTTTTACTGCTACATTTACCAGACATATGCATAGAGAATTTTAATTGTGTGAGTGTGTACATGCATGCACACACCCTTAAATATGTAAACTTGCAAATACAGACAAAACTTTTTCTAAACAGAAAAAATGTTAACAACTACTTGACATATTACTTTTCTCTGCAGGCAGGCACCAGTAGAGGCTGCTGTACACCATATTAAGTAAACATTTATGCATACTGAGATTAATTTACAGGCAGGTCAGAGATGGAGCTTGAAATGTAGTTGTGTGTTTAACTTATGTAAACATATAAAAATTATAAATGCAGCAACACTAAGTTTTACAGAGAGGCCATAGTTTTGAGATGGTAGAAAGCCTTTGCTTTTTATCATTCTGCCTTTCTGCACACACATGGAGAGGATAGTCAGCTTTGGGAATTATACTTGAAGGTGCTGAAGCTACAGTCTTTACTCAGGTACTTAATCTTGATAGCAAGCTGCAGATAATATCTTGGTGAAGACTCAGAATTCATAAAAATATTTATTGAGGTGGTATTTACTATTTAAATGTTCCTTATAATAAAAACTAAAAGCACGTGGGCCACTACTTCTGTAATGGAAAGATGCTTCCCTCAAACTACAAGCATTGCCTTTGAAGTGTCTGCCTTAAACATCAGATGACTGACCTTCCTCCAGTCCTAAGGTCCTGGGAAGGCACAGCCATTGCACCACCATCTTGAACTGATGAAAGTAGGGCCATGCACGATCCACATACTGATCACAGCATAGCCCAGGTATAGAATAGGGATAGAAGGGATAGAATAGATGAAAGGATGGGATCTTGTATGACGGATTGCTTAGGGGACAAAAGTGATTAACCAAATCACACTTTAAGACACTTAGAGAAGATGGAATGGAACCACTTGAAGTCAACATCCTTGTTAGGATCCATCTGCAGGTCAGTCAAATTTTGTGAGCAGTAGTCACTGTAAAAGTTACTGGCAGACTCAAGAGAACCGCTTGGAGCACCTCTCCTGCATCATTTTGTAGGCGACTTTATCAACAGGTTCATTATCTCTATGTTAAGAGCCAGTCTAAAAGGAATCAAGAAAATCAAAGATTCCCAGTATCAGAGTTGATTTTGCTATTACCATGTTCATTTTCCAAGAAGAGAGATGTTAAAACAAGTCCTAACTAGTAATTAAATCTTCTGAAATTAATTTGTCCTATACATTCTAGTACAGCCTATATCCATGAGCAATTCCAAAAGGCTCTGATGAAAGCCCAAACGTGTTGTATGCTTTTGTAGTCACATACTTGGTATTAATAACAGCTTACTGTGAGAGGACTTTTTCAGAAACAATGTAATTTATCTTTCAGGTCCTGTGGGCGTAGGGTTGAATGAATTGAAACGGAAATTGCTGATCAGCGATACCCAGCATTATGGTGTAACAGTGCCACGTAAGTAAAAGTGCATTTTTGTGGGCTGTTAATGCCATATTCAGTTTCTTTTTATTATGTTAACCTAAGGTCAGCATTTCCAAGCCTGGGTGCCTAAAACCATATTTGGTACTCAAATTAGTGTCCTAATTTTTTTAAGTGCTGCTGCAGCTACATTTTGAATAAACATTGATTAAGCTGATAAAAAATCTTTGGCCCAGGTTCATTGCAGTAAATTTTCAGTGCAAGTTTGACATGATTAATATCACAGTTTACTAAATGAAATTCCCCTTTAAAAACTCCTTGGGATTTGGCATTTAAATGGTGGAATTTATTCCACTAACACTTTGGTCTGAGGTTGCAAACCTGGATATGGACAGTAGGAGAATGCACACAACCAAGACCATTGTTTATATTCAGAAGTTGGTAAGTAGTGATAAACTAATAATTCCCAGCATAAGGTGAGTTTCCTTTCAGAGCAGTGTATTCCATCCGCTCTTTTGTGACTCCCAAATGATCTATCTTTCTGCCTATGATAGAGAGAGAACTTGTGAAGTGGTTTGACCTTGTGAATGAGTGTCATTCAAATTCCTTATATTTTGCCATTTGGAAAATTACTTTTGTAGAAACTGAAACATTTACTATCAGAATTTGCTCAAATAATGTAATTTATAAACAAAGTCTTCCAACAGCACTTTGCTTTACACTATTTATGGAATAGTTTAGCACGTATGTGTCTGGGTTGTATTTACCAGAAAAAGAGGACTTTTCTCCCCAAGGCTTGATATTAACATAGTGAAGATATTAACTTTGCTTTAAGAATTTCCTTTCATGTCACTTGGTTGAAAGACTGGACATTTATACAAGTTACAATAATTCTGCCTCCAGTACTCATCAAAGGGCAAAAAGCTTACAATTATTAGAATGCATTACAGTCATGGGTTTTAAATGTTAGATTTTTTCCCCTTGAATTATTTTAGATACTCTTTTTAACATTAAACTGTCACCTAATGTCAAACGAGAAAAATACTGAAATGTTTGTTAGTAAGAATATATTTGTTTAATTGCTTTCATGCCAATGTAACCTGAAGATTGGGGAGTGTTTACCTGCAAGATATATAGTACATTTCTTTGCAGTATTCATAATTTCAATTTGAGACTAGTTAAAAGCTCAAGAAAGAAAAATGCCTACCAGTTTGGCTCTTGGCATCTGACACTAAAGGCCAGGTTCTCAAGTTTCAGACATTTTTTACCCTTGCATTAGTTAATCCTGAAAATTTAGGTTTAATACTGCCATAATTGTAGAACAGGTCCAGGCAGTGGAGCCTTATCTCTGGTAGGGTTTTCACTGGGTGTTGGCAAAAACCTTCACTTTTTCAAATTCCATAACATGATACAGACAAGTTTGAGTCCTGTTGCTGTGGTACAGTTTCTATCTCATTCATGTGAAGCCTTGTCCTGTGTTCAGGTAAGGGAATCACACAACTGTCAGTATGTCAGTTGCCGTATTTGTAAAGCACATATCAGAATCAGTCTTTGGCATAGAGATTTAAAAATATAAAGACTGACCCCTTGGTTAGGGACAGAAATTACACACAAAAAATGGTATAAGTGGTCGGAAACTGGTTTAGATGTATAACACAACCGAAGTTGAGTGCACATAAACCACTTTCAAAATGCCTTAAACCAATTTAAGATAAACCTGCATGGATATAGTATCCGACTTAGCTGATTTAGGTTAAAACTGTTCATTGAACTTCTGTCCCAGGTCCCCTCCAGATTCAAGTTAATTCACAGTCTCCCGGCATCCCAGAATGCTTTGCAGCTCCCCCACAAACCCTCCTCCCCCCTCTCAAGGTGAGCAGTCTATTCTTGGCCCAAGGTGTCTGCTCCAGCCAAGCAAGGAGGCATGGACTAAGGCCCCCGGTCTTCTGGCTTGGGCCACTGCAGGCATGTGGTTGCATTTCTGGAATCAAAATTGAATGTCTATTCACTTGCTTATTGGTTCAGTCTATTCAGCTTAGACTAACCTGAGAAGACTGAATCAGTTTAGCCTCAGTCTTTTTGACTCTGTACTTAGCCCTTGTCTATGGACAAGCTTCTCCAGCCCTGTACTGGCTTTGTCTGGTAGCTTTGTCTCCTGTAGAGAGGCTTCTTAAGAACAAGGTTCAAGTGCCCTCTATCCAGGGCCTTAACCCAATACTTTCTTCAATATTGCAGGTGTTCTTAAAAAATAGATGTGGGTAAGTTTGTTGGTAGATGAAAATTTACTAAATTTATTCTCAACAACATGCATGAATTGCAAATGTCTGGCCTATAAATTCATAAAACTGTGCCAGATACCTGTAAAGTCTTAAGTAGGGAGGTGGTTAGCTGTATTACCACAGTACTAACCAGTTAGTCTCTAAGGGCATTTATACATGTGCTCTGGGAGGCCAGGCTTTCAAAGCCACTCTAAATAGAGTGTTCCTCCCCCCTGCCTCCCAGAGAGAACCACTCTAATTAAAGTGCCTGGAGTGTTACGTGTATCAGTGTCCCTGCACCGAAAAATGTCAGTGGGGGTGCTTTAATTAAAGCTCATTGAATGAGCTTTAGTTAAAGCACCTCCACGGCCATTTTTCAGCATGGGGACGCTGATGCACATGACACTGGAGTCTGCTACAGCACAATAATTACCATGCTCCATCAGTCTCAATAGAGTAATTACAGCACATCAGAGCAGCTTCAGTGTACATGTACCACCCTGCCTACTTTCTGCTTAAATACTTAACAGATTGATGAGTGTGCAGTTCTCAACATAAGACTTTTCACATAAATTGCCTTTTTTCATCAAGTGATTTAGTGCCTTCAAACTTTCACTTGTGTTTTGTTTCTCCCCAAGACTTACAGGTTTGTGAGAGTCACTTAATGACAGGGAAATGTTGAGTAGAAGTAGAGTTGTGGCCATTTTAGGAATGTTTCTTTTTATTAGCCAAAGAAGATGAGGTGACAAAAATATTAAAAATATACTCTTTGGGAGTGGGTGGGGGTGTCTGTGGCTAGGTAAGTGGGTGAATAAAGAATATATGTGATGGCAAGGTACAGAGGGTTTTATGGGCATGAATTTGGACTGGTCATATTACTCACAAGTGCCAAAGCCACAGTGTTTCATCAGTAATAAAATCCTTTACCATACACCTCACTGCACAGTATCATGTTCTGTCAGGTGTGTACCTGTCTTACAGAAAAGGTACTACTTGATGATTCAAAGGAAGTAAAATAAAAATAAAATAAACATAATCTAAGTAATCGGTAGTCCAAGACTGTAGAAGGCAAGTGAAAGGAATTCATGCCTGATCACCAAAGGGTAAGGCTATAAAACATGAAATGCAGTTTTTCATTAATTGTATTTTTATGCCCCGTATACTGTTGCTGCAAATGTTTTAATGATCATAAAAACATTTGGCTCCCTTATACACCCAGTTGCTCAGCTGAATTTATCTTTTATGGTCTTGAAATCACTGGGTTTTCCAAGTGATTATGCTATGAAAAGTAGTAGAAGGTAGAAGGGGATTGTTCTAAATTGATGTTCATTTTTTCACTATTTTTCTCTGTTCCCATTTTATTATATTTTTCCACTGTTTAAAAAACAAAACAAAAAAAAACCTGATTAGCTGAAATTCATGTCCTGTGGGATTTTCTCACACTTGCTTTTAACACAATCCTGTGATGTGCCAAGTGACCTTAAGAATCCTCAAGTCCTATCTAACCTATTGGGAAATGAGGGCACTTAACCCCACACATGATCGGGCCTTTTACATTTGTCCCAAAACTGATTTACATTTATTTTTAAAACTTTTTTCATGAAAACCACAGACACGACCAGACCAAGAAGAGGCCAAGAAAGTGATGGTGTGGAGTACATTTTCATTTCCAAGCACTTGTTTGAGACGGATGTACAGAATAACAAGTATGTTGCAAAGACTTTAACCTGAGCCAGAGACAAAACAGTGGTTTCATTGCAGAGTTATTAATTGGTTCTTTTATGTAGTACTTAAAGTGGGTACTGCTTTAAAATTGTTAAAGTATAATTTGAATGCCTAGGTAGTTCAACGTTGAAGCTTCTTTGGAATAATAAAACTGCAAAAGTAACGTACAAAACTAACATTTTAAAGCTACCAGAAATTTTAAATGCCTTGCAGATGAGGTAAACTCATAGAGATTTTTAAGGTGTTACAAGGAAGGAGGTCCTTTTTAATTTGGTATCCTTTCTTTTATTAAATAAGCCTTGCACTACGAAGGACAGAAGCATTGACAAGCTTGTCATTGCAAGCATTTGTTTAAATTAATGTTTGTGCAGTTATATGCACTTTCAGGACAGGTACTTCCTGTTCTTATGAATTTGGAGACCTACGGAGAAGCCCTTCACTGCAAACTGTCCAAAAATTAAAATAAATGGAAGACAATGGTAGCATCCTGCTCTTTAGCAGCCTGTAAAATATTGCAAGTTGAAATGCTGCCCTAAGCATTTCAGAAGGCAAAAGTGTTAGACACAAAGCTCTAAGTTTTATTAAAACTTCAAAATGTTCTTTGTTTTTTTGGCAAATTGTATTTATGCTTTTATAGCACATAGCCAGCCACCTTGGCTCCATTAGCACCACTGTAGCTCCGCCTTCTATTCTGAGACAGAGAATTTGGATATTCTGTAGTGTGCAGTGAAATTTCAGTAGTTTCTATTGTTTAGGTTATTCACTCTTTTATTGAATTGCATTAGTTCAGAGAAAGAGGTGATGGAAAACATTAGTGTGCTGTTGGACTATACTGCTTTTTTCTCTTTAACTGTAATACAAGCAGGTGTTACTGATTTGAAAATAGTAAAATAGAAGATTTTTTTTTTTTTAATTTAGATGCCAAAGTACTTGGCAGCATTTCCTTTTATAAAACATGGTAAAAGTTGCATGTAGAATAAAAATATTTCTTCTCCTGAATTAGGTCTTATAAACCAAGCTGATGATAAGTTTTTGCAGATGAAATGGGAATGATTCTGATCTGTTTTCACTTTCTACCACAGGTTTATTGAATATGGTGAATATAAAAACAACTATTATGGCACAAGCATAGACTCTATTCGATCTGTTCTAGCTAAAAACAAAGTTTGTTTGTTGGATGTCCAGCCTCATGTAAGTAAGCACCTCTCTTGGCATCATGTCATTTACTGAGTTGCATGTTATGGTTCCAGAAGAAAACTGTTTAATAGAGCATTCCATTTGATTCAAAACTAAATTTATATTCTACACCTTTACTGGCTGTACTTACAGCAGAAAGCTTTCTTGAAAGAGAAGGAGAAAAGAAGCATTTCAGTACAAATTGCAAGATCTTTTAATACAAGAACTAACTGAAATGGCAGCTTGCACTATAATACTTAAGAGTTTATTACTCACAGATTTTTTTCAACACTTGTCTTCATCATTCCTGTGTTAGAATAGGTCTCAAAATTGATTATTGAAATCCAAAATATCCTTCAGATACAGGCTGAATCCCTGCAATCCCTTTGTCACCTGAACAGTCCCTTGATTTTACCAGACTATTCATGTAAAGTGTTGCAGGATCGGAAATACAAATACAGAGTAGTGTTCTGAAAAGGGAAGGGATGTTGTTTACCCATTGTGTGTATTTTGCTTTTCTCCTGTTGAAAACCCCAGTATTCAGGATTGGCTGGGAGTAACTTTAACTTGTACATTAAGAATATTTAAGCAAAGCTTTGGTAGTATTGAAGTGATGTTACAGCTATGATGGTGATCTTTTTTATTGGACCAACTGTATGGCTGGGATTGAGGAAGGGTATTGTGGTACCCCAAAACTTCTCTAAGTCTATACCAGCCATGCAGTTGGTCCAATAAAAGAGATCACCCACAAAAAGCCAAACATAAAGTTTCTTTAACTGAAATGTTTTCCTGAGAACAGATTCTTCAATTCCTTGATGTTCTCTTTCAATGTCCCTGGCTTATCCAGTGTGTATCTGCTTGCAAGTCAAGTAATCAATTTAGCCTAAGCTAAATACCAGGTAAAGCAATAATCTTTTACTTCATTATGTAAATGAAAATACTTAGAGGTAGTGGGCAGTAAATCTATGGGACTGAGAAGTTTTCCAAAGTAGCTACAAACCAAGTAAAGTGCGGATGAAATAGGTAAACCTACTAATGTAAAGACCATTCAAGGGAAGAGTTGTTATTACCTATAGAGTACAAAGACATTAGCGGAGGAAGCAGGTAAATTGTAACGAGCCATAAAACTATTGCATTTGGTTCATAGTTTTTAGTATTCAGTAAAATTATGAACTTTTGTTGCCAGGCCTGTCTTCCAAAAGAGCAGTGAGCTCAGAGATGGAACGGTTGTTCTGTGAAAGGTGTTATTCTGTTGGTGATTGGGAATGTCTGTCCTTTATATCTTTTTCAGGGTGTTCATTCTGGCATGCAGCAGTTGTTAATTTCATCCATTTAGTTTCAATGAGTGTATTTGGTGCGTTGGATGATATTAGAGGTGCACTGATAGATCGGTCCAATATTGGATTGGTACAAAAATAAAGAAAATTTGCTGTATCAGATATCAGCCTGATGGGGTCGATAATTTGGCCAATAAATGCTTGTGCTGTGTGCAGCCGCAGTGCAACACTCAGGCAGCGAGGAGCAGAGCTGGCAGCATGGAGAGCTGCCTCCAGCTGGTTAGTTCATTGTGGTAGAAGGGGAGGGAAGAGGGAATGGGCATGGGAGACAGATCAATGCCCCCCTGCGATGAGAGAGGGGGCAGGGGTAGGTGAGGGTGGCAGCTCTTGCTGATGCTTGCACCCCAGGAGGGTGGGTGGGGGGGTCCCCAGATCTGTGTGGAGTGAGGTGGGGCGGGCTGCAGCCAGGTCTGCACAGGGCTCTTCTTGGCAGGGGCTGGGCTTGGCGCAGGCACCAGTGGTGCTGGGAGGAAGCTGCATCCACCCCAAATTTTTCCACAGCTCTACTCCCAGTGCCGCCACCACCACCAATCACGCAGCGCTGACCCAGCTCTTCCCAGTGTGTGGGTGGAGGCAGAGCATTGAGCCGGAGCAGCTCTGGGTGGGTGGCAGTGGCTGCACTGGGAGTGGAGTGGCGGTGAAATTTGGGGTGGATGCAGCACCCTCCCAGTACCGCTGGTGCATGCTCCAACCCCAGCCCCAATTGAGAAGAGCCCCGCACAGCCCCAGCTGCATCCCGCCCCGCCCTGCACAGATCCAGGGACACCCTCTACCCTTCCACCACACTGGACTTAACACCTGGAGGCAACTGTACCAGAAATCAGATCAGTATTAGCTGATATGCCTCCTTAAATATTGGCTGTCAGTGTTGGCCCCCAAAATCTCTGTCGGTGCAACCCTAGATGATATACAACATGGTGTTGAAACCATGGTAGAAATCAAATAAGCAAACCCAGAGGATTTGTTGAAATGATGAAAATGTCACCTTGCCTGTGTTGTACCTAGCTGCACCATCATACATGCCCTCCTTGAGAAATTCATCTGCAAGACGTGATTCAGCAACAGTCCCTTTGGTAACTGACAGTGCAGCTTATTCAATGTATGATGTGACTGGTATCTCAGAGAAGATGCTGGGGGCTTCTGGAAGCTTGGTTCTTGGCCATTTTTGTCTTAGTTCAAAGCAAGTGTCATCTTGAATATTCAGGGTGAAAGGGGATATCATGGTTCTCTCCCAGGATTACTAAGGGGTTCAGCAAGGATGTCTTAAATGGGATTTTGGCATATATAGCTCTATCTTGGTAGAGGAGTGGTCAGATACCCTGATTTTCAGTGTCATAAAACAAAGTATTTTTTAATACCATAAGATTGTGTATAAATTGGATTTACCCACCCTCAAAGCAATACAGACTTCTCCACAGAGAAGGGAGTTACCTCAAAAAGGACATTCAGGTTCATGCTAATATTGTTGAGGCTCTTCTGATTAAATTGGATCCCATTTGTTCAGGGCTGGACAGGGACATTGTCAGCATAGCTTACAACAGAAACACCAAAGGGTTTGCTTATCAGTGGTGGCATGCAAATGCATACCAGGGTAGAAAAACCTTCTTTGGGGGAGGATAATTCAGTGATTTTACTTAAATTTTTTATACCCTTTCCTTCAGGTCATGTGCAGGAGTCTTTTGGAATTAGACAGTCTTGCAAACATAATATTATGCATTTGCCCTATATGTGGATGACCAGTAGCCCTAGAAGTTCATTGGTAGGCCTCAGAAGTGAGGCAGGTGCATGGGTTAGAGGAGTTGATGTATGGATCTGCAGGCACTAGATCCCTAAAGGCTCAAACCACAACCTTGACAGATCTGATTTGGCATATTAAGAAGGGTGTCCTTTGAAACCAGCTGATTTTCCCTCTTACACTCTTTGACTAGCTGCTACTTGACATAATTATTATACATATATTATACATGTAAGCATTTTTGATTCTGTAAACATGCTGACAAATCTAGGTCCCTCTCTGAGGCTGAGAAAGCCAGGCAGGGAGTGAATGGGTGGCTAAATTTGTACTGGAGTGTGGGACAGATTGGTAGTCACCCAACACAAAATATCAGAGAGTCCTAGGGTTACTCAGGGATGATGATACATACCTGTCCAGTGGGATACAAATATATTTTTGCTTGATATTAGGAAGGGAACTCTTACCTATCTGGTAAATTTGGTTGGTGTCAGAGGCGGGGAAAACAGGAGTGAGGAGAAGCAGCCAAAGCAATAGCTCCTTCTTGTGGCAGATGCATGTTCTCAAATGGGTCCGTCTCCCTAATAAACCAGAAGTGGAAGTGTGTTCATAAGAAGGCCCCTACGGAAGCTAGGAAGAGAAGACTGGGGCTCCTAATGTTTGGTATAGTGGAAAAGTACCATTTTTTACACTGGTCCCTTCCTACACCTATATCCAAAGAATGGATGATGCCTCCTTGCTTGGCATATAAAAGGGCATTGGGGTCCCAGCAGTTTGCTAGGACCCAGGAGAGGGCTAATGGCAGCACTCCAAAGGTGGGAATTAGCAAGGAAAAGATGCTTACCTGCACCATGTAACACTGACAGTTACTGATCCTAGATGACTTACAATTGTGGTGTAATCACTTGGGTATTGTTTTTTCTCTCTGCCTAGTCACTATAGCAGATTAGTTGAAGTCATCTGTCTACATCCATCCTGGTAGATCCATTTGCTATAGGCAAGCAGCTTATTACACACTCTGCCCATCACCTGGTGACAGGGCATTGTTATGGTGGCTACTGCAAGCAGATACTTGCAAATGTAGCTCCGATGTGTGGGTTCCCAGTGACTTGTGCTTTGGGGCACACACGTAAATTATTTAGGTCCAAGCAGTCTCCATACAGTTTCCCATACAAGCCTCTGTCTTCCTGGCATTACTCCTAAGCTATTAGCCAACGTACAGTGATGTGCACTTGCATGCAGTCCTGTCCTGAATCCATCCCTGCTGTAAATAAAGATGTACCCAGGCAGACCATAACCTGTGAGGCAGGTCTTAAGTAAACTGCTGCTTCTGGGCTTCATTTCCCGTGTGTCAGTGGGGACAGGAATTTGACAGGTCCTTTCAGGGAATCTGCTTTTGAACACTGAGCTGTGTGTATGTAAGGAAGCCATTTCCCATCTTTGAGATAAAGAGCTGGTCCTTTCCTAGGGACAGGTTCCTTTTTCTGTTCTGTTTTCAGGTGGACTGAGTCAGGTTCGCTTGACTGGGGCATCTCCCAGATATCCAGTCTTGCTCTCAATGCATCCTCTGTTACAGGTGATGGCTCTGTGACTGTTGCACACCTGTCGTGGATTTTTCCTGTGTATGGGCTGGAGCAGGGTGATGTAACCCATCTGAAGCCTTATGGGGCCATAATTAGACTGCTGCTGCTACCCACGGTTCTGCAGTGCATAAGTTCTCTAGTTCAGGGGTGTCAAACTCATCCAGCCCCATAGGCTGGAGAAGTAGCGCGAGTCTAGTCCGTGGGCCATATCTGGAGCATGGAGCTATGTCATGTGGCCTGCAGCTGCTCATGGGGCAGAAATTTGGTGACAGGGCAGGTGACAATAGGGTTAATTGTCATGGCTCCAGGAGCCATGGCATGGCAGCTGCTGCTCATCCCACCAAATTTCCAACCCATGGGCTGGGTTACAGCTCCACACTCCAGATCCAGCGCGCAAGTCAGAAAATTGGCAGTGGAGTGAGACAGCTGTACAGGTCCCAAAGCTACAGCAATTAGCACTGGCACCGCTCATCCTGCTGCCAAATGTCTAGTCCTGTGGGCCGAATCTTTGACTCCCCTGCTTTAGTCAAATTGGCAGTCCTGATCTGACTGAGGAAATTAAGCAGCAGGAGAGATGTCACTTGGTGAGTCTTTTGAGAAGGATTAAGAACAAATGGTTGTCTTTATCTCTATGAACTTTTGCAGGTGGGCTGCAGGACGCCTTCCCCCCCACCCCCCATCTTTGAAGTTTGGCCGTAGGAAGCTCAGCTCCTAGAATGAGCTCTTGAAATGAGCTGCTTCTTCCTCAGGGTGTGAACGAATCCTTGCGAGCGTTTGATTCTTCTAGCTAGGGCAGTACCAGCCCTCCAGGCAGGTGCCCCAGGTTTCTCTCTGCCAGACAGATCAGTCTTGGCCTTACTGACAACTTGTGTGGGGATTTTTTACCATTCGAGTAACACGGTGCACAGAAAAATGCTGTTTGGGCATGGAGGGTGACACGGACTGAAAGATACACTTCCAGAAATGCATTATAGGTTTATTTTGGGTAGTGGAGGATTTCTTTTATTATTGCAGACTCCAGGGTACAGAAGACTGCAACACCAGTTATTAATTAATTAATTATAATCGCTTTCTCTTCCCAGACTGTGAAGCACTTGAGGACATATGAATTTAAACCATTTGTGATATTTATAAAGCCTCCATCACTTGAGCGTTTAAGGGAGACCAGAAAAAACGCCAAGATTATTTCAAGCAAAGATGAGAGGGGGACTGCAAAACCCTTTACGGTAAGTATTTTTAGACTTAGATGTGAAAAGTGATCAAGAGATCTCTTAATAAAGGTTTAAAAGGAAAATAAAGTTGTTGGAATTAAATGGATCTTTGCCCTACAACTTTGGTGCATGTGTATTTATACATAATATTTTCTTTGTTTTTATATGTCTCAAACTCTCTCTCCTGTGCCATAACTTTTCAGAAGTGTTTTAATTTCTTTTGATGCACTTCAGCATAATTGTAAGTGTGTTTTCTAAGCTCCTTTTATTTCATACTATTGGAGCTCCCAAGCAGGAAAATGTTTTGTTTTGTTTTTTTTACTAGGAAATGACGTATTGTTTTCAGAATAACTTTAAGGTTAGAAAAATCAGAGGTACCATCAATTGTTCAGTGACATTCTCTTATCTTATCAACGTTATTGAATTTTCCCTGAATTAAATTAGACATAACTAAACCAAACTCAAAATGAAAAGTAAAAATGTCTTAAATTCACAACTACAGGTACAGAACAAATATTTCAGATACCTTTGTAAGGTAGATAAAAATTTTAAAGCAAATAAAGAAAAAGGGAAAAAATCTTAAGTAGCATCACTTTTAGGTAAAAAGCTGAAAAGTAAAACTTCTTGTTAATCATTCTAAGTAGTGCATGCAATTTACACTATTTACTAATAAATGTCCTAAAGTTGAGCACAGATTGAGTTTCATATCTGCAAATATTTTAGGTTTCCCAGTTCCCTCGATTCAAATATTCTATAAATATATATTTAAATTTTCGGTTTTGTGCCACATAGCTGAAATAAAATTTAGCACCCATGGGTATAGACAGATAAGTAATAGTACTGGTATTGAATGATACCATTATATGGCATTTCAGTGTCACTGTTCCCTCTCTGTGTTCATTGTAACACATGCATTTTATCTTTAACAAGCTTCCATTACAGTTTAGCAGTACAGTGATTTAGCTCGCTTTTATTGTTATAGGTGCATGCAAATGTACCAGTTGCTTTGTGCCAAAGACTGCGCCTTTGTTATACCTCCCACACCCCTTCTAAAGTAGTTGCATTCTACATCTGCCCACAGGCTGACTGCAACACCCTTTTGAATCAGTTTTTGATTTACTGCAGAGTATGTGCAATGCAAAAGGGAGCTCTTAGTAGGGGAAAGGACATGATGTGTCTTTAGGACTTTGCTCATTTAAGCTTCAATCTGAGTTATGAAATAAATTAAATACTTAGTCTTTTTACATTTTTTCCCCCTAAAAACATGAACATAAACTCAGTAAAGCAATTCTAGCGAGACACAGGAAGCCGGCAGGAACTATCCTTTGGCTATGGACCAAGTTGTTAAAAAATAAAGCCTGTGTTCTGATAAATCCCTTGCTAATAGCAAGCTGAGATTAGGTAATGCAGTTGTCAGTGCATCATTAATGTAAACAGCTAAAAACAGTTTTCCACTGGTATTCCTAGCACAGGAATGTCTATGTAATTATCAGTTGGTGGCTAATTCTACTGCTCTAAGAGAGAAGAGGAAAGAATTGCCTTGTCAGGCAAAATCTAGTCAGGAGAATGTTTCAAAGAAGTTATTTGAAATGATGAATTTGGAAAAACTCCTGATGCAACAGAAAATAAGCTGAATAGGACATTAATAGAGCCATTCAGTGGATATGCATTAGACACTGATGTGTTTGATATACTTGTACTCTGGATTGACAACTTCTACTTGTTTTATTAGGAAGAAGATTTTCAAGAAATGATTAAGTCTGCTCAGATGATGGAAAGTCAGTATGGCCATCTCTTTGATAAAGTTATAGTTAATGATGACCTCACCACAGCCTACAATGAGCTGAAAACAACTTTTGACACACTGGAGACAGAGACCTTTTGGGTTCCAGTCAGCTGGTTGCATTCATAACGCTAGGAATAAGGAAAATATATGATAGTAGCTGGGAATTTGCTAGTAAGGTGCATGGTTGGACCCAATTTTGTTGCCATTTTCTTGGTGGGAGGGTTTTTCAAGCTTGGGCAAACTGACATGCAGCTTCAGACTTGGTGCAATTGAAATGTTCATCTTGTTTTTCTGTATCCTAAACCATCCTGTTCGAATTTTGGGACAAGAAGTTTCCCATGTAATCCAAGCCTTATCCAGGTCAGTACAGTGAGCTAATACTATATCAAAAACTGCCAGCAGGTTATTTTATATATCAGTGTCCAAGTTGAAGGCTTTTTTTAAACAAGGGTTAATATTAAAGAAGATATTAATTAACACTAGATATCAGTGCATTGGTGGTCTCAGCCAAAATTGCTTTCATAAAAGGTTGCACATTAGCACTTGGAAGTTATTATCTGTACTTTAATGGAACTTGAGACAACTGAAGCAGGTGACAGCGACCACCATTTCTATAGATAGGACATCAGTTTTAATTGGATTAAGAATCAGGATGAGGTCGTCTTTCCTCAAAGTGTGAGCTTTGTCTTATGTGCACAGAGTGATGCTAGTGTTCGTTTTTATTGAATTTTTTCACCAAACGAGAAAAGTACTTTAGTGACTTAACTGTAAAATATTCTCTGGAAGAGCAACAGTCTTTTGCTGCTCTACCGTGCATATGCATGCAGTGAAATTCTTCATGCTTGCTTTGTGGCACAACAAAGACAACCGTTGGGAATATTTATCTGAATAAGGGAAAGTATGAATTACTTTAAATGCTTGTAACTTTAACAGTCTTCCTTTGTGGGCAAGTTTTCTATTAGATCTTCTATAAGATCAGTGATATATTGGAATAAAAAGTAATGTAGTGAGTTGCTTTTTTTTTTTGTTGGTTTTGTTTGTTTTCTTTTCCCTTTAAATCAACTCCAAATACTTCTGGCATCCTTTTAAAATAGTTCTAGCCTTTTGGAGACTTTCAGACAATTAGTGGGGGAACTGTTTTGAGATCTGGGAAGCAGTTGCAATACATGAATTGTTTGTATTAGCTATACATAAAATACTTGTTTTAAAAATATGAAACTTTTCAAAACACATCTGAACAGCATTCAGAGGATATTTTGTTTTAAATTCAAATGCTTTTATTTTCGTTAAAGCTTGGAAGCTATGCTACAAAGAAAATTATTCTCCTTTTAACACTGGCCAGATACAATTGAAACCTCAAATTGAATCCTGTGTGATGGAGCAACCAAATATACAGTAGATCATGTATTTTTAATATAGGTGTCTTCCATTTCTCTTGATTTTACTACTGAGGCAGGAAATGAGAATGTGTGTGAAGAAAGAGTAAAGCACGTGTGTTAACTGAGTAGTGAACTTGTCTTACAGGTACAGTGCGTAGATGAACTTGCTTACTTCAGATCATCACATCTGTGGCATTCAGACAGGAAGCAGAGTTATTTTATGTTACCATGTAGAGGGAATGTATCTGTCTTGTTTAAAGAAAAAAGAATTTAGTGAAACCTATATATTTATGAAAGGGCTGTAAAGGTATATTACATTTTTGAATTTCTCGTCAGTGTGATCATTTATAAAATAAGTTTCTATGCTGTTCTAATTTGAAACACTGTCTTTGTAAATTGAGTTCAACATTCCGTGTAAATATTTTAGCTTAGCTTGTATCCTGATAAAGCCATAAATTCTTTGCAGTTGTCTTCTAAATGCACATTTGATGTTTTGGTCATTGCATTTTGATTTAAAATTATGTAAAGCAAGTGAAATGTAAGCAGCAACAACAACAAGAAAAACCCTAGGAGTCTGGAAATGTTTATATTGCAGATACTGACCTACTGTATCTCACTATGACACGCTGTACTTGAATGGCTGTAATGTTAACTTCTGCAATACTTCTCCATTTTTTTGGTGGACTTAAGCTTATTTGTAACACAAATAACAGCTCATTGATTGCATTTAATTCAAATGAAATCACAAATCGAGTGTGGGTTGAAGAAATATTCTCTCTCTTAAATTACTCAGTCTAACTTTCCCCTGGGAATACGGTCCTCAGCGTATTGAGTACCCTCAATTTCCATTGTAGACAAGAAAAGGTGAGGGTGCTCCACACCTCTTTCTGACCTGACCCTGTTATATCAGAGGAGCTGCAATCCTTATTAAAAGAGTGTGCTGAAACTGCTTCTAAGCTGTAGTGCCAAGATCACTAGTGTAAAATATCTTTCGAATAAAGGACCTGTTTTGCTATATAAGAAACAGATGCTATTAATGTTTGAAAACCCTGGAAGCAGGCTGTCCTTTGCTGCCCTGCAGGCTTTTTGCAAGGGGAAAACAATTTTGAAACAGTTTTAAATCTAATTTTCCAGGTCAGTGGGGCCTATGAAGACCTTCTACAACAGGCCGGGGGTGGCAGGCCATAAGCTGCCTGATGCTTTGTTCTTTTTATAGAGACACTTACTTTCTGATGCTCCATGTAAACACTGGCAGTAATTTCCTAGACAGCTGGCCACCTGCTCCTGTCTAATTGTAACACCTGTGAAAGAAGGGGGTGAGGGGGAGAGACCATAAAAGCAAACACAGAGCAAACCAAAAAGGGAAAAAAGGTGTGAGCCGTCTTTGAGCAGCTAGAAATAAAATTTTGAATGAGTTTTTAGAAAAAAGAAAGGTACAGCCCACTCCAGTAAATACCCTTTTAAAACTAACATTATTGCAGTGTCCTCATCAATAAAAACAGAATCCATCAGTCTCTGTGAGGCTGTCAGATACGGTACTGGGTCAAGACAGAAAAGTTTCTAGTCCAACAGTTTTGTTACTAGGACAGGCCTCAGCATGAGGTAGGGAAATACAAACCCACTTGTTAAAATTGCTCTGCTAAGATAAAAATTGTGTGCGTGTTTCTGACTTTTAAGGCTTTATGGAGCCTTAGAAGGTGACAATGTGTGTCTTATGTAATGTGTATATTCAAGTTGTGCTGTGTGGTTTTTAGATAATTGTTTTTACTTTTAAGCACAGATATTTTTATTGTATTTTAGCTGTTTTGGCATAGAAAAACAAATGTTGACATTTTATATTATTGTATCCAGATCTATACTTGAATTCATTGTTTGATGTCATGCCTGAAATCTGGTTTTACCTTCTTATGCAGAACAATAAATTATTGAGATAATATATTAATTGAAGACATTTTGCTTTTTGTTCATCCTGTGCAAGGTATTTTATGGTGTCGCTCACCATAGAGTCATAGATTGTGGAGTCGGAAGGGACCACAGTGGATCACCAGAATGACTTCAAATGGTAAAATATATATGTTTCACAGGTCTCTATCATAATTGCACCTGTTAAGAGTTACTCATAAATGAATGCTATAGGCAAGGGTATATCAGAACCATTCATGGCGTGGCCTGTCAGATTCCAGTAAATGTGCAAATTCTGCTAAATACCTTGTCACAAGGACATGAAAAAAGAAAGGAAAGGATGGTCAAGGGTGGTCCATCCAAGTCTCTAACATCCCATTGGGCTAGTGTAGTTAAGCTACCCTGATTTCTTAGCCAAAGGCACACAATGGAGTGATGAAGTTGGCATCACATCTGACCACCTTCTATTCCCCAGCCTCAGTGACCCAGTTCTCAATTACAGCTCGGTGAATCAGGGGCAGTCTTTGTCACAAGTCCAAAGCATGGCTTAAACTTGGGCCTCTGGAGCCATAGCAAAGGATCTTAGCTACTCTGCCACTGCATTCATGACAACAGACTTAACATTTCGATGTACTACTTTGGTTGCTTTTCCATTTTCCTTGCCTCCTCCCCCAGATACACTCTTTTCTCCTTAGAGTGAAGCTGCAAAGGAAGCAGAGAATAAAGATAATTGAGAGGTGATCTGCAGATTGGTGGTGTGGGTAAGCTGCGCATCCCTGTTAAGTGTAAGAGAGTCCAGGGCTGGCTGAGTCAGAGCTCTGTTCCAGCTTTGTGTAAAGAAAAGGTTGCGTCAGGAGTAGCAACTAACAGGAAGGTATGAGCTAAATTCAGCTGTGGAAAAGGCTTTACTATCTCAGGTTTCAGCCATGGAAAAGTAAAAGTGCCTTCATTTCATTTCTAATATTTCCTTGAAGCATACTTTGCTCCAAATCTATTCCCAGCTCATTTGGCCATTAATAAAAATGGGGAGTGTTCAGAACCTCTATAGTTAGATGCCTAAGTTAACCATCCAAGATTGTGAATTCTTGCCCCTCTCTCTCTGCAAGATCAAGCTCCTAGGGAGGGTATTAATGTTTGGAAATTATTTTTTTTTTTAAAACTAAGCTGATAATAGCATTATAAGTGTTCAAGTGTAATACACATTAATGCATTTCAATTGCTTTTGTTCTGTTTTAGTATTGTTTTGCCACACCTCTCACATTTTGATTCAAGCTAATTCTATATACAGCTGATTCACATTAATACTGTGTAGATAGTTGAATCAAAAAGTCTATGTGATTGGTCATTCAGAAGGCTGCTTTTCCAGTAACAGAAAGCTGCTTCGGTTTAAATACAATCTTAAATAAGTTTTTGGCAGTCACAGCTCCTACAGTGGTTTCTTATGTAGAGCAGGATATTTTTTGTCTGTTGAAATGTTGAAAACCTTTTGTATCTGCAGTTTGACAGAATTCTTCTTTGGCTTCTAAGTTTATTATTAATGGCATCACAGTAGGAGACCTGACTGAAAAATGGACAGAAATTGAATGAGAAATTACGCTGTTTTTTATGAACTGCTTACAGAGGCTTGTGTTTAAGAATTTCTGCAAAAATGTGAAGAAAATAACATTTGGAGATAAAAAAATTCTCAAAATTTTAAGTTATCTTGCTGTATAAAATGGCACAGCACTAATGAGAATTTAGAGGGCTGAGCAGCTGAGGACTTCCTTCTAAGAATTATCTTTCTAAAGGAACGGCCATACTGGCTGACAATTGGAAAAGTACCAACCACATAGTCACTCCCTACAGTCTTCTGAGAAGACATGCTTGCTTTCCTGTAGCATTTAAATATCAATCACTAGTCCTAGTAATAATATTTTTTTTCTGTTTTTTAAGGGGGAAACCTAAATCTGTTTAAAAAAAAGAAAAGTTTTACTGTTTTAAAAAATTAAGTGAGGATGACTCAGAGGTTGCTAAATGTACAATTTCGTGCCATAACAACCAAAAAAAAGTCTTTAGAATCCTGAAGCTGAGCTAGGAGTTGAAAACTTTTTGATAAGAAATGAATTAATTGAGAAATAGGGGCTATTACCTTTTTGAATATATCTTTCTTCCCTTCTATTTTCATGTTGATCATTGAGAACCAAAGAAGAAAAGTGGGTCATGGTTGCATTTAAGTAAAAAGGTTTAGGTTCTGGCCAGCAATACTTGTGGAATAATTGAATGGCAGATGTTAAGGACCACCACCCTTTGGGGAGCCCCTGAAAACATTTGTTCTGCCTTTTTGAGTTCAGGGGCATGTCATGTGAATCTGCTGCCCAGCAGTTGTCTTCAAGAACATCTAAAGAACACTTGGATCTAGCTTGCGTTTCTCTTTGAATAGAAACTTCAGATATAGGATGGTCATTCCTTCATCACTAATTTCTTCCTTGAGAAACATGAATGGGCAGCACTGAACATTTTCTAAGCTGCTTTGCTACCAAAGTCCTATACTTCTGAGAGGATGAAGCTGCAGCTATACAGCTGTTTTTGCAGAGCTAACATCCAAATGACTCTCCCAAAGGCTTCTCTTGTTTCTGCCTGAAGACTGCTGTTTCTGATGTAGCTAAAGCCTTTTGGGAGGGCCGCGATTTGAATTTTCAACATAACAAAATATGCTTAATTAGTTTGAGTTTCTCCCCTCCTCCTGCTCAGCACTCTGGTGCTACTGAAGTAAAAGATTTGTTCTTTGACAAAAAAAATAAAAATGTACTCTTTGGATATGTACAGATGTTACACTTAAAAATGCAGGTGGTTAGATCAGGCAAAAAATTGCCACTGGATATTAGTTCAGCCATATGTAGACCTTACACTTAGATCCCTTGTTAGGTTCATCCTTAGTTAGAGCCTTGTTACACAGTAATTCTGGGCAGCTCCTACAGCTCTTAATCCCTGGATTGTCCGCACATTAACACCATAAAGTGGTTTTAAGACCTCACTATGCGATTCAGTTATGCCAGTCCAGGCCAGAATTATTTCTGATCCGCACTACCCAGCTCCTGTTCCATTAAGGTGTGGCCACTCCCTATGGATGTCAACCAAATTGAAGTCCTCCAGTATGCCAGGATCTCTCACACATCTGCCCTTAGAGCAGAAATAGAAGCCTGTCCTAACTCACCAGCCCTGTAGTGACAAGTCACAGCTAAAGCTCCTAGTCCTGCCCCTGCTCACCAGGCCTCTAGTGGCAAGTCACAGCTGTATAGGTGGGAGAGAGTCAGAAGGTTTCTAGACTAAAGGTGTGACTGTTTCAAACTCCAAGCTCGCACTAACACCGATCAACATTTGTGTGGTCCACAGCATAAGGTGTAAAAAGGCCCTAATTGTCAAAGTGCCACGTTGTACAGACATTCCCTGAAGGTTAGATTGGGCAAAAATGGCCAGCCTAATCTAACTTAGTCCACCAGGGAGATGTGCTAAGTTAGAATGGGCATGGGTTAAACCGATCTACTGAACATCTATACACGTTTGGAGTGTAGCCCCAAGGCTGAGAAAGCCCAGCTGCTTGTCCTAGCCCCAGGGCTGTACTTTTCCTTCCCTGTCCTCCCCCTAAGCCCCCTGATCCCCACCTCAACCCCAGATGGATAACCTCCCCATAGACCTGGCAGCCCCTCCACCTTGGACCCATTAGCCCCCTCAGTGATGCCTACTCCTCCCCTCACCCCAAATTACTTAGATCAGGCTTCTGGCATAGATGAATGTCTATAAAACCAGCACCAGAAGCAATTTGCCAGATCACTCCTGGTGCTGGTTTTATAGAAGTTTGCCGGTGCTAGGAGCCCAATCTAAGTTAGTTGAGGTGGGGAACCCGCCCCAATCAACTCTCCCTGTGGGCCAGCCAACTCCTCCCGCAGACCTGCTAGACCCCCAATACCACTTGCCTCTCCCCCGCCCCCCCATCCTGACTTGACTTAGTTCAATTCCCAGCACCAGCCAAACATCTGTAAAACCAACACAGAATCTACAATCACACGGCTTAAAGTAAGCCACATGATTCTAGATCAAATCCAAAGATTGTCTGTAATGTTCTTCAATTAATTTGCGAAGAGCAGGACTCAAGTAAGGAATCACTGAGTTAGATCAGGCAACCTTTTTTTTTACCCCATCTAGCATCCCAAGCTTCTAAGTGTAATGTCTATACATACCCATGGTTATCTTGGGAAACTGAAACAGAAAAGGCAGTTTTTTCTGGCAGAGAGTGCTACAGTTATTTAAGAAACAAATAGGCAAAGAGCCAAAATGGGAGCCAGGTGGAAGAATATTTTTATATGGTTGCATTTTCTCATGGAAAAAAACACATTTAATTTATGTAGTCCCTGGGAGTGGCACATGCTAAATCTGTGTGACTTGTTTTCTTTTGTCTTCTAATTCAGCAGATTAGTTGTTTGTTTACATACCTCTCCCAGTGTTGCCCTTGCATGGCTTGGATATCTCACAGTTGTTGGTATCATTGTCATTTTTCCCAACACCTGTATCAAAAGCCTGCTCATAAGTGATGATGAGCACCTAGAAATTACTCCAGGCTTCAAAGGCAGATCTGTGCCACACGCTTACTGTGCCAGGCAGTGCCATGCTCAAGCTGGCTGTGTGTGTGTGCACTCCCTTGCTAAGCAGAAGCAGTGGAAGAGTGCTTGCTGAGAGGCTGTGCTAATTAGACCATCCATTGTTTCATAAGTATGGTTGAATTCTGTATGTGAGGTAGCATATGTAAAGCCAGCGCATCATGTTTAAAGGTGCCACTGTCTGCCACACTAAGTTTGCAATGC